ATATATATATATATATATATATATATATATTAGGTATCTGACAAAAAAAACAGTATCTTCCATTAGTGATATACTATTCGAAATGTAAACAATGACAGATTTCCTTTAAGATGTGTGAGATGTTGATGGTGCCATTGGATCATGCTTCTGACGCGTCGTCTCATGTGTTCGTTTCAGTTGGGCATAATATTCTAGTTCCGAAGCCGCTAGGGCTACTCGCAGATCATTTGCTTCGCCCCACATATGACCCGTTCGACTACTCTCGTATGCTTGTAAACCTTCATAGAGGGATTGGTGAAAATCACTCATTTTACTAGTGCCTGCTTTCGGAGAACCCGATCTCTCAACAATTGGCTGCGCCACTCCACTTGGAACAGAATCTTCTTGAATAGAACTCAATCCGGTGATAGGACTACCACTTCGACTCCCACGAGAAGAAGCATTAGAACTGGAATGGGTAGGTGATCGTACAATACTTTTTCTTTGAATCTTATCTTGAGAGCCATAAGACGATTTTTGGCTTGCACATGAAACCGATCGAGATCTGAGATTGTGTGAAACACTATCATCGTCTAAATCTTCTGTGTAAACAATATTCCTAGACATTCTACGCCCATATCTTGATACACAGTCTCTCTTTTCACGATTTTTTTTCAAAATTATCCTGCTATCTGATGCATGCTTCTCTCTACAATATAATGTATCTATTTGTTTATATTCCTCAGTATTGTAAGGCACATCAGAGGTATTACTGTATGCCGCTCGTTTCTTGGTGATTCCATCATCAGATATGATATCACTCAATTCATTACTATTTCTTTTCCTATATGTTCGAACTTCATCATCACTGCATATTCCTGTAGAATCATTTGATTGCACATAAATATTTGAATGTGCATTTTTCTTGTAAGAAGATATCACAGCAGGATTATGAATAACTTCATAAAGAGCGTTTTCCAGATCAATTACATTCTTTCTTGTTAACCGCGATGTTTCAAATGGTATGTCACAACTCCTGGCAGAAGGACTATTATTCCGACTTATGCGCTCACATTTGGATTGCGGACTAACGGATCTTGTTAATCTCTGCTCATAAATATCTACAGGAAGAAAGTTTTGCACTCCCTTTCTTGTTTGTAATAAGTTACTTTCATCTTCCTCACACCACCGAGGTTTCCTTAAATATAATACAGGTTCTGAATTCTGAAATTGTAATATGGGTGCAGCATTTACATAACGCAAAAGGTATGGATATAGTATTGCTGTTTGGATAAATTAACAAATAAAGACTTCTAAACCTTTGCGACTTAAGTAGTGACATTTGCCTTATTGAAATCGAGAATTAATAAACGTTTACGGCAACGTTTACTGTCGACTGAAATTACTGTAAAAAAATTCTGTAAATATATCTGATATGATCATGACCAATTGATGGTTCAAGGAATAGGTTTGAATACAAAAATCTAAGAAATCTTATTTTATTAAGATACAATGATGAGTGCAAGAGGCTTGCATCGGTTTGCAAAGCTTTGGCCTTTCCAGATACAATCGCATTTGCTAAGTTAACTGCTTTTAAATGATATTTTTTAAATTAAAACTAATTAAAAATTACGTAAAAACTTCAGGACTGAAACGTCTACCAGACATGTTCCTAGAGACAAAAACTTTATAAAATTTAAAGTCACTAAATGATTCAGTTTTTCAAAAAAAGGCAAGGAGAGTAAGTATCTGGAATCATTTATAAAAAAATTAGAAAATTAGAGAGAATTAGATAAATAAATAATTAGAATGATAAATAAATATTCTTTTAATTTTATGTATTTTTATTTTTTATGAAAAAAAATTCTTTATGAGGGGGCCCCCAAACAAATTTTGATACGGGGCCCCGATAAGGCACGCTACGCCCCTGTTCTCAACATGCAAGTTCAAATTAATTAAATATTGCCAAATATTGTCTTATATGAGAAATTACACAAGTCAAATTAATCATGAAAACTTTGCTCTAACTAAATTCAATTTTGAAAAATAAATGATCGTGAAGAAGGTGAAAATATAATATTAGTAATAATAATTTTATATTTTTTTCGTACTACATATTTGAAATTATTAATCATGTTTCTAAACAGTATGCCAATAAAAACTAATAGAAAACTAGTTTTTTATATTTATTTCTTGAATAGATTATGTGAATTAAAATCAAACCGAACGTTTTTAAGAAAAAAAACGAACCTTCATTTCACGAGAGATGAGAAGGTTCCAGACCTGTAATCTTACTAATTAAATTTATTGATTTCTCAAGCTAAACAAAGACCGTGTGACTTGATCAAAATATTACAACTGGAAAAACATCTGTCTCATTTGAACTCTGAAAACGGTTGCCTAAATACAGTAAGATCATCTCAGATAATTTTTATAACCAATTGAAGCTGTAAAAATACGCTTGAAAATTGAAATTCAACATTTATTTATATTCCTTTAAAATTTCAACAGTTTTCCCGAGTTAATAACCGCATGCTTATATTTAGACCCTTCAGTTACAACCGTCAACGCCGAAAGAAGTTTTTCAAAAATAAACCTTACCAAAAACTAGCTAACTAGATGTATGTAGCATTTCAAATCATTTTTTTGTAAATAATCGACTAAATCAATAATATAGAATGAGAATTCAGGTGTAGCAAATTTTTTCCAATTAATTACAAAGAAATGGCCCATCCGATATTTGCCAAATATAATCAGCACGATTCGCAACCGATATCTTTCAAACAGTTTTTGAATTTATAAAATAGTTTCAGGATTTTTGGCTAAAACGTGGACGGAATTTTAACAATTTCCTCCAACTTTCAAGGCTTGGCTTCTAATGATTTCCTGGCAAAAACCTAAACTTCACCTTGAGTAAGTTCAAAACTTAAGCAGGCGGTTAGTTAGACCTGTCACTATCGTTCATAGGGATAGAAACTTACAAAAAACTAACGCCATCATCAACTATAAACGATTTAAAACTGTGAACTTTAATTGTTTGTAGGAGTTTTGAAAAAGCGACATAAATATGGATCATAAATAAACATTTCTTTTCATTTCATGCATTTTTTTATTTTATGAGAAATTTTTGCCTTTCTTGAGGGTCTCCAAAGAAATTTTCATACGGGGCTCTGCACGCTACGCCCCTGATTCAAATGCATTTAAAAGCATTTTGATATAGCTCCATGAGGACTAGCGTTTCTCAGTTTTGTACGACGATCGGCCGAGCCGTTTTTTTGTAAATCGTAGAAACGTGAAAAATTTTTCGTCCACGTTTTAGCCTGCAATTCTGAATCGATTTTGAAAATTCAAAAATTATTCGAAAGATATTGGTTTGAAATCGACGTGATTAGTTTTTGGTAAAGATCGGCTGGGCCGTTTTCTTGTAATAAAGTGTTAAAAAAAATTTCGACAATTTTAAATTTTTTTATGGTAGATACCATAGTCTTATAAATCATACTAAAATATTACGGCCCTACGAGTCGTTTAATTTTAAAAATTCGTATCGTTAAGTTTGTAAAAATTAGTATCGTTTTTCGGCGTTTGTGATGAATTAGAACTTTCATCGACGTTTGCTCAAAAGTCAAACGATTTATTTCGATGTGGATTATCTTTTCTCAGTTTTGTGCAGCGATCGGCTAAGCCATTTCTTTGCAATTTGGAAAAAAGTGTTAAACTTTTCGTCCACATTTAAGCTCATACTACTGAATCGATTTTAAAAAAAATCAAAAACTGTTCGAAAGATGTTAGTTGGAAATGATACTGATTAGTTTTAGGTAAAAATATACCGAGCCGTTTTCTTGTAATTAACTGTTGAAAAAAAATTTAAGCCGATTTTTATGGAACATTTTTGGCGATATATATCATGGTCTTATAGAGATTACTAAAATATTACGGCCTTACGACAAGTAGCTTAATTTTCAAAAATCATCAAAGTTTGAGAAAATGAGTAGTTTTTTTTTGACGTTTGTTAAAATTAAAATTAGGCGATTTACTTGGTATAACGATAGAGTACTTGGTCTTAATGAACATACTAAACTATTAGTCCTACGGCAACTAGTTCAATTACAAAAATGATTGCTTTTCTGCTTTGCTAAGTTTTCTTTTAGAAAATACTCCGAGTTAACATGATCGTTTTCAATTATGTGTAATAAATCCACTCGGAATACTTTTAATCACTCATAAATTAATTTATATTTTATTGATTAAGTCGATTATTTACACATATCGGGAAGTTCATGTAACTTGCCTCAAGGCAAAATACCAACTAGTTATGTTTGTTTTTTTAGAGAAGTATTCTAGAGAGATACAAATTTATATTACACACCGAAGTGATGAAATACGTTCATCAATAATTACAGCTAGTGTGTTAACCTAGTATACAGCAAAAATATAGATAGAAACATTGAGTTCAAATAATTTAAATACTAGATTATTGGACTACAAGAGTAGAAATTAATTATTCAATAAGCTCATCAAAGCATATAATTTTGAGCACCAACTTTTGATTAGTATTGTTATTCCTCATCTAAAAACAGAAAATTATGATTTCCTCAGAAACATATTTTATTGATAAATTTCCTTGCAGAAAAATTTTTAATCTTTTGCATAATAATCTAAGTAACTTAATTTTCCATACAATTTATATATTTAAAGAAATCTATAAATTAGGAGGCAATTTGATATCTCTGAAATATGTCACTACCTCTTATTACGTCGCCAATCATTATACATACTATAAAAATATAAAACAAAACACACGTTTTAATGTACTATGAGTATATATATTTATATATATATATATATATATATATATATATATACAAATATTTATTTCAATAAATATTTTTTTTACATATTTATACATTACATAAATAACCTACATATATATATATATATATATATATATATATATATATATATATATATATATATATATATATATATATATAGGTATCTGACAAAAAAAACAGTATCTTCCATTAGTGATATACTATTCGAAATGTAAACAATGACAGATTTCCTTTAAGATGTGTGAGATGTTGATGGTGCCATTGGATCATGCTTCTGACGCGTCGTCTCATGTGTTCGTTTCAGTTGGGCATAATATTCTAGTTCCGAAGCCGCTAGGGCTACTCGCAGATCATTTGCTTCGCCCCACATATGACCCGTTCGACTACTCTCGTATGCTTGTAAACCTTCATAGAGGGATTGGTGAAAATCACTCATTTTACTAGTGCCTGCTTTCGGAGAACCCGATCTCTCAACAATTGGCTGCGCCACTCCACTTGGAACAGAATCTTCTTGAATAGAACTCAATCCGGTGATAGGACTACCACTTCGACTCCCACGAGAAGAAGCATTAGAACTGGAATGGGTAGGTGATCGTACAATACTTTTTCTTTGAATCTTATCTTGAGAGCCATAAGACGATTTTTGGCTTGCACATGAAACCGATCGAGATCTGAGATTGTGTGAAACGCTATCATCGTCTAAATCTTCTGTGTAAACAATATTCCTAGACATTCTACGCCCATATCTTGATACACAGTCTCTCTTTTCACGATTTTTTTTCAAAATTATCCTGCTATCTGATGCATGCTTCTCTCTACAATATAATGTATCTATTTGTTTATATTCCTCAGTATTGTAAGGCACATCAGAGGTATTACTGTATGCCGCTCGTTTCTTGGTGATTCCATCATCAGATATGATATCACTCAATTCATTACTATTTCTTTTCCTATATGTTCGAACTTCATCATCACTGCATATTCCTGTAGAATCATTTGATTGCACATAAATATTTGAATGTGCATTTTTCTTGTAAGAAGATATCACAGCAGGATTATGAATAACTTCATAAAGAGCGTTTTCCAGATCAATTACATTCTTTCTTGTTAACCGCGATGTTTCAAATGGTATGTCACAACTCCTGGCAGAAGGACTATTATTCCGACTTATGCGCTCACATTTGGATTGCGGACTAACGGATCTTGTTAATCTCTGCTCATAAATATCTACAGGAAGAAAGTTTTGCACTCCCTTTCTTGTTTGTAATAAGTTACTTTCATCTTCCTCACACCACCGAGGTTTCCTTAAATATAATACAGGTTCTGAATTCTGAAATTGTAATATGGGTGCAGCATTTACATAACGCAAAAGGTATGGATCATAAAATTGATTCTGATTATAACTCTGCAAAACATCTTCCTTCATTAGTCCGTTGCAGTTGTATATTTCCAAATCAATTGTTACCAAATCTTTGTATATTTGCATTTGATTTATAAAATCATGTGTTGCATTAGATTTTCTCTGATTAGTGGCATGGCTCTGCTTTGCACTGTGAGAAAATTGATGTGGAGAAGCTGAGCCAGTTGTAGATCGAGAGCGTGGTGACCCTCTAATCTCCATTGATGTAACAGTAGAACTACTCTCAGATGGTGATGTGCTTTGCTTTTTCCTACGCTCGTTGTCTTTGCACCATTGCAAGTACGACTCACGAGCAACCTGTTCCTCTATGGCCTCATTGGTCGCTTCCCAATCAGTTGCTTTGAGTTTATCTTCCAACATAGTCTGTTCAATAAGCAAGTCTTCACTCTGCTTTACTGCATCGTTAATCTGGTTGATATCAGCCTCACCTGGATGATAGCCTGCAAGACCTAAACCAATTCCTACTGTAGCTTTCCATGGGTTACGAATTGAATTATAATGTGAACCGCGCTGATAAGATAGTCTAATAGGCTCATAACCACTGTTGTGTTCAGTAGCATTGAAAACATTAACAGGCTCAGCTGCATATATATATACTTCGATAGGTCTATTATACATTTCAGATACTGCTTGTATCTCTACATGATTTCCATGTACATTATCATGTCTCTTGCGATTCACATAACTATTGAAGTCTTCTGTCACATATTGAGCAAAATAATCACGATTCTGATAAATATAGTCCATAGTATTTTGTCGCACAACAGAATGCATATCCTGATCACCAAATATTTGATCGGAAATAGCACGAAACAGGCAAGCCCCATCATCAACCATTTCCCTCACTTCTAAGCCCCTAGCATTGATGAGAGCTTCAAAGCGCTTGTCACGAGCTTCCCACTCAGCTTCAGTAAGCCTTTGATCGGGTCTTGGACTGTATTCATCACCACTGTTATATCCCGACTGCTCTCTGACTGCTTTAGGCTCCTTTTCCGAACAAGATGGCACAGGACTGCTATTTCTTGAAGCATTCTTTTTGGTTTCACGTGGCTCTCGTTCTCTTTTATTCTCTGATCTTAATTTGCATCTTGCTGTGGAATGGTGTGGACTGCAGCGTACACGGCGCTTACTGGTACTAGGAGAGTGCTCTTCATATGTGCTACTGTGATTCCCATATAATGCTATTTCTCCATTTGCATGATTTGAAGGAATGCTATGAGTATGAGATCTATTTTGTGACCTTGTTGCTGTATTTTGAGAATTGTGGGTTTGAGATTCACTGCTGTCCTCATTTTTAGCGGTATTACACTTCTTTGATGGCTTTATGGTCATGTTGACAGTTAGTAAATTGTTCACCAACAGAATTTACTGAAAATGATTATTAAAAGAATATATAAAAAAATATTTGTCAATATTTGTAAAAAATTTGAATTTCATTAAAAAATATAAAATGAATACATGATCGATTGTCGATTTTCAACTGTCACTACTTTTTGTTCATGGATATATAGACGTCCATTTTCCTATGTCAAATAACAATCACTATCGTGAATATTTTGTATTATCTCGTTCGAAAAAATTGTATATGTCTTTAGCGAAGTCAATTTGGTATTAGTATGTCGATTAATTCATTGAATTAATTTCAGCATTGAAAACGTAGCACAAACACATTCGCAGATGACACTCACCATTCGGATTCTCGTTGTGCATGGGGTGTGGAAGCCATTTCTTTATCAAATATCCATGAGAAATAATTGCTTAATGTAGATTATTCATTGCAACGCACTTCATCGAATGTTACATATCTACACTTAACAACATATTTCAATCTAATATCCACCAAAATCAGATTTCAACGCAAAAAGTATTTTAGGTTATATTAATGTACAATATTGCATATCGTCCCATTAAAAAATATCTACAAAATGATACTCAAATATGAATATAAAAATTTACAAAACAAGCACTGATAACAAAAACCACTTGTATTCTAATGAAATTAACTAAACTGTTCCCGAAATGTTAAAATGTATTTTAGTGATACAATCACGAGAGAGTAAGATTTCCATATTTAATGTATTATACTATTTGTCATGACATATGAAACAGCTGGCAACACACACATACAAAAACATTCGAACAATCTCGAATGTTCTGTCAGTAGTGCTCGTCCTGCTCGCCACGCTGCCGAATGCATGCGCCGAACAAGGTACAGAATACTACAGTGTGCAGAGGTGCAGAGCATGGGAGCATGCGTCACGATAAATTGTCATATATGATACTGTATGATACGATACACTGCATATGAGCATATGTACACATACATATACATTACATACTTTAAATAAAAAAACTGAAATGTATTTATTATGTACGTTTCGACAATAGATACGTGTCGTCTTTCAGCAGTTATCACCAAGGTGAACACATAAAAAGTTCTCTTAACTCAAACTACATGAAAATCTTTTATCCTTAATTTGTTGTGTTCTTTTTGGTATGATCTGCTGAATGATTAAGCATATATTGTGTCAAAACGTACATAATTTTATATTACTACTTCATTTTAGACTTATTGGTGACTTGGTCACTAACTTTTCACAAACATATTCCAACGTTGAACAAAAAATCTCTGCATACAGTAGATTGATAGACTTTATTTGAAGCTATATGTTTATTAATTATATATTTAAATAATTTAATATTTATATATTTAATTTATATATTTAATATAATTAATTTATATTTCCAATTATATATATATATATATATATATATATATATATACCCACATCTGTGTTTTTTGTGTGTATACCCACATTTACGTTTTTTCAATGTCATATACTAATATTTACCATTTAGTTGAAAATAATAATGATTGTTGAATGTAGAACTGCTTCAAATAAAATGATGATCCTCAACTCCCACAGTTAACAGTTTAATTATCCTTTTAACAAATATTAAAATATGTTGCAAATTTATTTCCAATAGCTCAATTTATTTTAATGCCAAGGGTTATACAATTTTTTAGTCATATCTGTAGATGTGGATGTATAAATGAATGTTTTTTTTTTTGATTATTCACGACTAAAATATTGATTTTCCAAATGTATCACGCAAAAATGTTCGTCTGCCTTTGTGATTTATAGTCATAGCATAAGATGCACATGTTGAAAATTGAAATCTTTTAAAAGGTATAACAAATTCAGAAAGAATTAATATATAGCATGCGCGGTAAAGGTACAATATTACCATGGATTTTTCTACCCAAAATAATTGCTTCAATAATGTTGCCATATTTTAACTGGCTTTTAGTATTTTAATATCTAAATTGCATTTTTCTTACTAATAATTCAATATACATTATTACTTAAGTTTATGTTTGAAGTGAATTAGCCAGAAAAAGACCTTGAATTTTCATCTATATACCTTTATCCCTATCTTTTATTCTTTTAGAGATATAATAATGAGAAATTGGTTGTTTTTTTATAAATAGATTTTTTTTCATGAAATCTTGAGCTTTTTGGAAATCGTTTGTACTAAAGTTGTGGTATTTTCTAGAATCCGTCAAGATCTCTTAAACCAAGTTAATTCTAGACGGAAAACGATTATTTTTAATTTTGGTGGAAATGGCACTCATAAACTATTTGATTTAAATGAAAAAAAAACATTGTATTCGTCTTTTATCTGCATGATAACTCACTCATTTTACACGCAGAAGTACTCATTTTCAAGCTTATTTTGAGTACTATAAAACCCATTTTCATATCTAGCCCAATATTGTTCCTAGAACACTTTATAGAACATCGATTTATTAAGACTTTAATTGATATAATTTTGTTCATTACATGATTTTCGTTAAAACGTATATTTTTAGAAATATTTGCAAAAAAACGATGAAAAACGATAAAAATAACAAATTTTCAGTAACCAGTAACTTGGAAAGTAATTTCTTTTTTGAAAAACATTTATAAAAATATTTTTCTCTTCTAATTAGTTGTTTTATCGATATCCGACGTTATTTTGAAAGAAATACAATTGCACCACTGAAATCCCCACGGAAAGTTTTTCACTTTTGAACTTGAGAGTAAGATGAACCTAATTCCAAAATTTCATGCAAATTGGAGCACATTAAAAATATTCAGACCCAAAACGCTTCATTGACTTGAGTAAATATTTCGTATCCAGTGCCAAACATATAAATTTTTGACACAATGAAACTTCTAAATAATTTTTTGAATTTTTTGTATTGTGATTTTGTGAAGTAAGGCAAAACACGACTGCATTTAAAAGTTAAAAAATAATATTCTGTCAAATTGAATTATATGCTAAGTTTGATGTGCCATCACTGACAGACGCATGCGCAGACTGCATCACCTGTCAGACGAATGTTGACTTTAAATCTTATATTATTTTAATTTTTGGCACATCTCAGCTGCTTTTCAGCAATAATAATGTAGACATTACATTTTCCTTATTTATATGCATGATTTTATTATATTTTAATATTGCTTTAGCCTATAAGTCAATAGAAATGTTTGGGAAATGACAGTCTTCATTTGTTTTTAATGTCAAACTATGCCTTAATTTAAGAGGATTAACAATTCACACCCTGTTACAGAAGAATTTTATATATAAGATATTATATACAGTGGTGAGTGGTGTTGTCGGGCCGAAACGCGCCGGAACGTCGTTCCGGCAAATCATTTTTGAACCGGAACGCGTTCTGGCAAAAGAAATTAAAAAAAATCGCTACATACAGAAAGTGATTTAATAAATAAATTTTATAAATTATAATTTAACCAATTTTTATTAAACGTTCCTATTATTATAATAAACATACATATATGTGCACAAAATGGGTTTTGTTTCTTTCCTTTTCGAACGGAACCGCAACAAACATGAGAACCGTTTTTTGAACCGGGTTATTAATTTTAGCGTTCCGACAAAAAATATTAGCACAACACCACTGTATATATATATATATATATATATATATATATCGGAAGTTCCGATTGAAATTCTTTATAATTCCGAATCGGAACTATTACCTTACCCTTTATAAAGAATTTCAACATTATTTACTAAATTAAAATCTAAATTTAGTATACAAATTAAATTGTCTAAATTGCCAAGGATTTTACATTGACGAAACTAGCCAAAATTTACACAAAAGAATCTTTCAACATAGAAATAATTCATAAAATAAAAACAGTATAAAACAATGCTTTCAGAACATATAAATAACCTTCAGCATAACATTGATTTTCTAAACCCCAGTATTTTACATTTTGAAACCGATATATTTAAAAGAAAATTTGGTGAAATTTGTCTAATATCTTTAAGCAATAAAGCAATCAACAATATACATACATATATATATATATATATATATATATATATATATATATATATATTAGGTTGTCAAATATCTCCCTTCCGCTTTTTTGCTCTTTGTTTATAACACAAAAAGGCGGAAGGGAGATATTTGACAACCTAATATATAATGCGACTAGTTAACTTCTCGTAGAGTAAGTTATTGTAATCGTCTAAAAATCGAAAATGAAACTTTTTGCATATCTTCACGTTTTGAAGGTTTCTGAACATTTTTGCATACCTTAGAAAAAATTGATGTATGTATGTGTGTGTGTATGTATGGACAATTTTTTGGGCGCACGCATCAACCGATTTGAATGATTCAAAAAACATTCCATTTTTATTGATAGGGAGATGCCCTAATTAGAAAAATAGGTCCAGCCGTTTCGGAGATACGGAGCTAAATTGCGATTTTTGAGAGAACTAAGCATCTGATTTAAATGATTCAAACGAATGTCTGCTTATATTGACTAAACGATTGTTTTTGGAGAAAGAAAAAACAAATAAATTAAAGTTTTCTTTTTTAATTTTCAAAAAATTTATTTTTGGATATCGAATTTCTAAGTTCTTATATTTTATCTATAACACACGAGTAATGAAAGCTATAGTATTTATACTAATCTTTTTAAAAACATTTAATATTCCTCGTACATTTCAATACGGTACGGGAAGTTCCTGCAATTTGCCTTAAGGCACAATGCCATACACCACCAGTTTAATTATTAATTTAAAGATGGTTTAGAGTAAAATTCTGTATTATAAACTTCATGAATTTTTAACATGAAGGTACTACTTTTACACCATTAATGAAACATTAAACAAATATAATAACATACATGTAATTTTTACACAGATTGAAGTGTGAACAACCCATATTAGACTTGATGCTGCTCGGATGTGTTCGAATATAAACAAAGGCAAAAATAGAATTACAAAGTAGGGTATTCGCGTAGTAGTTCGTGATGATGATGTGTAACTTGTTACTTACGATGCTAAGAATATGAATAATATTAATATAAATCATTAAAGAACCCTACCTGAATGTTTTTATCTTTTCGTGTACTTTGCTAATTACGGTTTTGCCGGGACCTGATGATATTGGCTCTCCTAAATTTTCTTCCTTTTGTGATTCAACTATGGCTTTCGCCACATAAAGATCGCTTTCGTTCATTGTAAAATTTTAAATGAAACACTTGAACATAATCACAAAATTAAGTAAATGTATTGTCTAATTCTATAAAAGATTGAGATTGTGATAGACCATGTACTGTGGCCGTTTGCATTGCAAGTAACAAAAGGAGTTAAAGTTCAGACTATGTATAGTATATTACACTGACAATCTGTTTAGAACATTCGTGTTCGCCCAATATACTCAGGGTCGTACAGATCATTAGGATAATAAGATTTCTGGCATGGTGCTAATGCTTTGTTAACAAGTCATTTATGCATATGTCAACTTTCAAATTTTATTTTTATAGCTCGCAAACGTAATTTAAACACACCCACAAAATAAATTTCGTCTGGTTGAAATTATATACAAATATGCTATTTACCTTGATTTAAGACGGCCGTGAACCAAATGACCAAAATGACTTGAGAATGCAATTTATCCAGGGTTTTTTATTTGATATTGGAAAACTATACTTTATTCATGGAAAACAATTATAATATAGAATGCTCAAATTATTGAATAAAATATATGCAAACACATTAAAAATACATTTAAATACACATTGTTTTACCTTTAATTTGTATACAATTTAACAAAAATAATCTCAACTATTTGGTATACTTTGAAATTGAAGCTAATTGAAGAATTCCTTAATAAAATATATTTATATTAGTACATACTTTTACTTCTTGAGTCGATATATACCTAGGTTGCGTGGTAGCGGCGTTCAAATTTTATATTTCGTTTTTGTTTGTTACATAATATCTACGTAGCATTATTTCAAGAATATTGCATATAAAACGATGATTCTCATTTTAGTCATATATATATATATATATATATATATATATATATATATATATATATATATATATATATACATAGCTGGGCATTAACTCGTTAATCCGTTAATCGTTAGTTAACGAAGTTAACATTTTGATTAACGGATTAACTTTTAAAAATGTTAACGGACACGTTAACTTCCGTTAAAATGCAAGAAGTCCGTTAATCGTTAATCCAATACCTACTATTTACCGCACGGCACAGCTTTAGCCATAGGCTTTAGCCAATTCCTTATTAAACGCCATAGAGAAAAAGGTAGAAGATGCCTTATGGCAAGAAGTAGCGAAAAATTCGAAGGACAGAGATAGTTTAAGTGGCGGAGGGAGCAATGCGAGTAACAACGATGATGACGAGGAAGAAGACTTTTTCAATTCTGTCACTCAGTCTATAGAAAAACCAAAGAGCTCCAACTCTTTAAAGAATAAAGCGCAAAGTCTCATTAAAATGTGGCTGGACATGAAATCAAAAGACTCGTTCAACGATGCGGCATTCCTCGGGAAACAGATATTCATAAATCTATTTATTAAATACAATACTGCTATACCCTCAAGCGCTGCAGTTGAACGTTTGTTTTCCACGGGTAAAGACATTTTGACACCAAAACGAGCCTTGCTTTCAGACGAGAACTTCAACATGTTAATGTTCATGAAGAGGAATATGCACCTTATGCCCGACGCTTAACCCGTCGCGCGTTTCCTATTTTTCGAAAAAAAACTCTTTCCCTTTATTTAGAAAAAAAATTCTTGTAAAAACAATATGCAATCATAAAAACGGAAAGTTGACCAATAGTGTTATTATCACGGAGTGTGCATAAAGCGCGTCGCGCCATTTTCCTTATACACACGGAAGTGTGCATAAAACGCGCGAGGGGTTAAATTACGCATTCGAATTATACAAGTATTTTGTTTTATTCATAACCTGTTAACTTCCAGAACCTAAACCAATAAGTTTTTTAAGTTCACTAACGCAACTATATAAAAATGTAATTTTACACATATTAACGGATTAACGATTAACGTTAACTTGCGTTAATTCTTCCGAAATGTAACGCTTTAATGTTTAACGAAGCTAACTTTTTTTGTAGCGGATTAACGATTAACGAAGTTAACTATTTGATTAACGTTGCCCAGCTATGTATATATACATAGCTGGGCATTAACTCGTTAATCCGTTAATCGTTAATTAACGAAGTTAACATTTTGATTAACGGATTAACTTTTAAGTTAACTTTTAAAAATGTTAACGGACACGTTAACTTCCGTTAAAATGCGAGAAGTCCGTTAATCGTTAATCCAATGCCTACTATTTACCGCACGGCACAGCTTTAGCCAATGCCTTATTAAACGGCATAGAGAAAAGATTTGGATCACTACTGAATGATGAACAGTGCCAACTTGCCGCGGCATTTCACCCAAAGTTTCGGTTAATGTGGCTGGAAACGTATGACAGGAAACGTAGAGAGGAATGCAGAAACTATAAACTATTGGACAAAAAATTAATTTTTTTTGAAAAAAAATGTTTTCTTTATTTTGACATATTTTGGAAGATCTGAACTTTTTTTCAAAGCAATTTTACTGCTTTAGGACTGCATAGAGACAAAATATAAAGCGCGTAAGCGCCGCGTCGCTGTCTAAAGGATAAACATTGGTACGGAACCCATAGGAATGTAAATAAAATTTATACTTATTGTTAAAATCTCTATAAAATATCTGATAATTTGATGTGCATATGTCTAATGATCATTTTGACCGCCAAATGGCATTTTTTTTTTACTTTTTTCATTAGATCTCCGAAACCGCTAGACCTGCCTTCATGAAAATGTTATCAATTCTTCATAATTGTCAATACAAGTAAAATGTTTTTTTAATTATTAAAATCGGACGCTCCGTTCTCTTAAAAACTGAGTTACCGTTTTTGGCTCAATTTTGCCCCATATCTTCGGAACGGCTAGACCTGCCTTTGCCAAAAACTAATCAGCACGTCTTCTTATCAATACGAATCGAATGTTTTTTGAATTATTCAAATCGGTTGATCCGTGTTCCCGAAATCGTCGACGAAAATTTGTATCCGAATACACATACATACACGCACACACATACATCCATTTTTTCTAACGTATGCCAAAATATTCAGAAACCTTTGAAACGTCGAGAAATGCAAAAATTTTCATTTTCGATTTTTTTGCGATTACTATAACTTGCCCTACGGGAAGTTAAAAAAACTCTTTCCCTTTATTTAGAAAAAAATTCTTGTAAAAACAATATGCAATCATAAAAACGGAAAGTTGACCAATAGCGTTATCACGGCATGTGATAATTGTGCCATTTTCCTTATACACACGGAAGTGTGCATAAAACGCGCGAGGGGTTAAATTACATATTTGAATTATACAAGTATTTTGTTTTATTCATAACCTGTTAACTTCCAGAACCTAAACTAATAAGTTTTTTAAGTTCACTAACGCAACGATATAAAAATGTAATTTTACACATATTAACGGATTAACGATTAACGTTAACTTGCGTTAATTCTTCCGAAATGTAACGCTTTAACGTTTAACGAAGTTAACTTTTTTTGTAGCGGATTAACGATTAACGAAGTTAACTATTTGATTAACGGTGCCCAGCTATGTATATATATATATATATATATATATATTACGAAATGAATTCGTAACAGTCAGCATAAAATATCAGATAAAACTAATTGCAAATAGCCAATAATTAGTAATATTATATTTATTTTTGTCATTTAAACTATTTTTACAAATATTCCTAGGTCAATTAATACGTCTTCTATACTAAAACCAGCAAGCTGTAAAAAAGATTATGGCATTGATATCTTATAACCTATACTAATTCACATTTTAATATTTTCGTAGTTTCGTAATAAATGAAAAATATATATCCAATGCTATAACATTGCCGCACTTTATGTAACAAAATCTCTGCGCAATAAGAATAGAATGTAGAAAAGATATTTTTTTTTTAAATTCATTGCCATTCGTAAGGTAAAATGCCGATAGTAGCAAAGTATTATCAAATTGATAGTACTTTGCTACTATCGGCTACTTACTACAAAATTATACATGTACATTTAGCATATAACGATGCTATCTATCCGATGCAATATAATGCAATTATTAGTTATCAGGTAATTGTAATTTGCATACCCACAATATTCATGCTTTAAGTTTTCAAGAAATCAATCAGCAACTAAAATATAATTATTCTGATAGCTTAAAAAAATAACTATAGTTTGTATAGTACTATATATATAAGTGTATAAGATTTTGCCTTGAGCAAATTTTCTGAAACTTTCCAATGTTTAAATAACAATTATATTAAAAAAAATCTTCAAATAGACATTAAAATTCGTATTAGTTAGGTTAAGTATTTTTAGAATTATATAAAAAATTGAAATGTGATTAAGTTTTAGAAATCGTATTAGGTCAATACACCTAATTACTTGACTATAAATTGTTAATCAAATGGAAACACAATGTCGTAAAAAATGTTCATTCAAATATTAGCCTCTCTCCATTAAGCACTATTATTATAATTATGTTTGTGTTTATGTTATAAATGCATAGACCTTATACTACATTAAAATAAAACTATCACAAAAAATTTTTGAATAACATTCACTATTATGATAAATATTATTAACTATTATTAAAATCGATTCTTAAAAAATTATCAGTCATCACAATTGCCATTATATTATTCAAATAAAATATATGGCATATGACATTTGCCATTATATTATTCAAATCAATCGGAAGAGTTCCACGATTGTCGACAACGCATGTTCAGCAAATGACGTCACAGTCCCTTCTATCTTTTTATACTTTATACAATGGAAAACATATGATGACTAACAGTCCATGTAGTATAAGGGCTATGTATAAATGTGATGAGTATTAAGAAAAAATGAATCTATTTTATCAAGTTTTATTTAGTAGAGCAAATATAGACGAAATGAAACTTGTTAAAAACATTATAAACTTGATGAAACAGAAGATGCTCTTGATTCATATGTTTTGGTCTCGGCCGCATGCAATCACTCTACTCTTGGCTACTCTTGGCTACAGCGTGGCTTCGGCGTGGCACGCATTTGTACCCCCTAATATAGGTAAAGTGATAGCCACAAAGGGAATCGGACTAGAACATATGTGATTCTTTGCTAACAGACCCCCGCTGTGATCGACTTTTTAGTTGGGCTTTAGAAGCCGGTCTTCCAGAAGCCAACCCTCACGTTCATCACATTCGTACAACACCACCATGCAATGTAATATAACGGCCCGCAGTGACGTTCGGAATCGACGCTGGCATAAAGTTTTCAACATATAAACTACCCCCTTCGACACACGCGACGCCCAAGGAACAGCCGACTGATACTTGCTGCCAGCGCAGCCCTTGAGCCTAGCCCTAGTCCTGATTTGAAGGTAGCAACAGTAGTAAGTGTTGGACACTGCTAACGTTTTGCTTCAACAAGCGTGCCAAGTCTTAAAGTCTGGTCGGCGAAGGATCTAGCCAAAATGTGACTATTCGGTAGCCGCCGGAGCGCTCGATCGTATAGAACGCTGAACAATAACAATAAGGAATAGCCTGTTGTAGACCAAACGTTGTTATGAGATACGCTAGCGATACCTGTGCACATAAGAATTATATATTATATTATTTATATATGAGATCGCTCGTAGTTAAGTGACTAGGTAGATAGTGAACCTTAATTAGGTTCCGGTTCGATCTCGCTTCGAGCAGCTTGTTGTCACGTCAGTAGTGTCAACGGTTTTCACTTGGAAATATAGATAGCTATATCAGTGGCATAACTATACCATTCAGTGCTGGATTACCCCATAGGCCCGTGAGGCCCGGGCCTAGGGCGGCACAATTTGGGGGGCGGCAAATTTTTCAAAATGTCAAAATTTTATTTTAAGGATTGATCCTGATCTAGATAATTTTCTATGAAATATAATGTTATTCGTTTTCTATTCGTTTCGAGGGCGCCTCATTAATATTTTTATTGATGTGTCATGTTTGAAATAAAAATTATCAAATTGATAAGCTTTCTTTGGAGAAATATTGAAGCTCTGTTCATTTTTTGCAACTTTGTTAAGGTGAATCTTTCAAACAAAACGTTTTAAAATGGTTTAAAATGGTTTCTTATTTTATTTCGGGAACTAACATAAAATATTAATTGTCGATTGAATTATTCAATTGTCGGGAAGATGTGCTGATTAGTTTTTGATAATGACAGGTTTATCCATGTCGGAATAGGGGGCAAAATGATGAAAAATAACTATTCAATTTTTTAGAGAGCTCTATTTTTTATCTGATTGAAAAATTCAAAACACATTGTACTTGTGCAAACAATGAAGAATTGACTAAATTTTTGATTGAAGAATTGCGATGGTAGAGTGAGCGTGCATTTTTGGTTATCCAAAAAGTGCCATTTAGTGATCAAAATGATCAATAGACATTTGCACATCAAATTATCATATTTTTTTTACAAAAATTTTAATAATCAGTACATATTTTGTTTTTATTTTTAACTTCTCGCGGAGTAAGTTATAGTAGTCGCAAATTGAAAATATTTTGTTTGCATATCTTTACGTTTCAAAGGTTAAAAAAAAATAGATGTTTGTGTGTGC